CCGCCAGCCTATTCCCTGCCACTTCCCTTAGAACCAATATTTCTTAAACATTAATATCATAGAAGGATAATGATGCCATGTCTTAGAATCTCTCCCAATCTTGTGAGCTTTGCTCCATTACAACTGTCATTGATTAAGGTATTGTACTTTTGTGTTTCCAGTATTTAATTATAAAGCATTGGGGGAAGGAATCCAACAAAGATAGACAACATGCCCTGTAAAGTTGGGTTGACATAGGGAATGTGCTTTCCTGTCAGTCACTCCTGGGGACAGAAATCATTGGTTAGAATGGTCATGACCACTGCAAGTGCTTGAAAATTTTGGATACATAATCTCCTAAACAAAGGAGTTTTCTCTCTTGGCTTGTGACACTTGGCTTGTGGGGCTCCTTTGCTCCTGCTTCCTTGAGTTTGCCTATATGACCCATGGCAATATGGACCCCCCCCCCCCCACAATGGAATAATGGACTACAATAGGAAACACAAGCTAAGCTAGCCTGATGCTGGACTTGACTCTGCTCCAATATGGAATTGAAATTCTGAACACTGGCTCTGATTTTAGCTCTATTGAAGCCCTAGCTACACTTATGTTATGAATGAACTAAGGGGAATGGCACTTTGAAAACCCAGGGGTATAATTCCATGGAAATAAAGCTTTCTACCATATTTCCATGGGGGCCTCCAGAAATGCTTATTCCAGTGGTACCCGAAGGACTCTACCTCCCCCTAGCAACCGGGGGAGGTGAGGCCCACTCCCTTCCATTAACATATGTGTCTAACATTTTACTAAAAATGTTATTGCTAATAGTCAACAAATGAGCATCAGACTTTCTTGTTCTAAAAAAAAGCCATATTTTGTAAAGTGATAAAAATCAATTACTTTAATCACATGCCACAGTAAAAATAAATAAAAAGGTGTGCATTCCTGGAAAAACTGTCCTTTGGATAGATTTTGTGTAACATATAAAACAAATTCAACTAATACTAATATTTCTTAAACATTAATATCATAGAAGGATAATAATGTTATGTTAGAATCTCTCCCAATCTTGTGAGCTTTGCTCCATTGCGACTGTCATTGACTAAAGTATTGGCACTTTTGTGGTTCCAGTATTTAATTGTCCCAGCATTCAAGTATTAAGCTATGAGGTCTCACTAATTTGTGTCTATATCAACTTAAAGACTGTTTCCTGAAAAATTTTTCAAATTACTTTCATAACATACTCTTATTATGATTGTCACATTCCATGAACCAGCTATGTATCCATTTTAGAGTTTGTAGCCTTTTTCCAATGTCCCTTGAAACATAATCACCTACACACCAATTGTTTTTGTCCTTTGTAAACAAGGAAATCAGTACCACTTTGAAATTCTATTTTTTAAAATATGTTTTTATTGATTTCAGAGATTAAGGGGGGGGGGAGAGAGAGAGAGAGAGAGAGAGAGAGAGAGAGAGAGAGAGAGAGAGAGAGAGAGAGAGAGAGAGAGAAACATCAAAGATAAGAGAGAATCATTGATCAGTTGCCTCCTGCACACCCCACACTGGAGATCAATACCACAACCCCTGCATATGCTCTGCCAGGAAGCGAACCATGACCTCCTTACTGATGCTTAACCACTGAGCTACATCAGCTGGGCACCACTGTGAAATTCTTTAATGTGTATTTTCAAGTCTCTGAAATAAAAGATTTACATCTTTGTGTTGGAATTGATATGGGGAAACCGCCTAGACCATGAGTTTAAACTAGTCACTCATGTATCAAATGAACCACAAAAACCACAGAGGATGAGTGTTTTAGAAATAGATGATATGTCTGCAACATTTTTCTTACAGAACTGTATCTGCTGTGGTTTCTTCTCAGTTATTAATGTCACCATGACACTCAGTTGACATTTTAAAGTTATTAATGAAAGAGCCACATGTGAATGAACATCTTTTTGTCAGGTTATCGACCCAAACTTACAAATGTGAATGAATGGATTCTAATCTGGGGTTTTTCTTCTCTATTTTGGTTTCCACCTTCTTCGCCAGGATCTTAAAGTAAGTACTCTGATTTGTTGAATAGTGTTAAACCGTTTATTTTTATTTTTTCAGTTGACTTTAGCCTCCAATATGTAAAGGACTCAAAAAGGAAAATTAATGTGAGAATAAAATATTGAAATTCATAAGCTAATAAAAATCATTTAAGTATGCAATCTATGTAATGGATGAGAGTTAGTCCCTGATTTATTCCCGAAGTTCTAAATAAACTTAAGAATTCAAGGGTCTGCTGGTGACATTTATAATTCACTTTTTCCAAAGTATGTTCTATTCAGCAAATATTTATTACATGCTTCCTATGTGCAAGATAGAGCAATAGATATTTCAAATAATACAAATATGAGTAAGGTACAATTCTTACACTCTGAAAGTACAAGTGTGTATGTTGATTTGGTTTTTATATCTTCTAATTAATTTTTTCTTCTAAATTAATGCTGTAGCACTTTCAACCTATTCATATTTTTGGAAACTTTAGTTAGAAATGAGAACCAGTGTCCCTATCTCATTACTATAACCCAATTAATGTATTATTTAAACAATATCTTGAATTATGGAATGAATATTGTGTATCCATATTGCATCAAATATTTTATAATTTCCAAAATTTTAATTCTTAATCAGTGAGTTGTTGCTAACTACAAGCTGTTAAGAAATGTAAGTACTTAGAGGATAAAAGGACAGATTAACTATTAATGTAATGTGCCTGCAATGGTTGACACCCTACTTAGCATGACCATTATGTACTAGAGTCTACAAAATTATTCTTCATGCTCCCACAGCAGAACTGGAGTGCCATATGGCCATGCTTGTTTTTTTGTCAAATAATTTTTACATAAACAGCTGGTGAACTGTTTTTATTGTAACAGTGCACACATTTTTTGAGACAGTTGGGAAGGATTGATGCAACTCTAGTCACTGCCTGCTTTCCTGTCAGCGTTAAGGAGAAATTCAGATTCATCTTTTTCAAATGTGAACTTTTGTATTCTTGTCACTATGGTCAGCTGATAAGAAAGATTTTTAATGGAATGCATGAATTATTGACATGTTTATAAACATGTATCAATACATAGAAACTAGTCATAAGGGACCTCCAACTTCCCCTGGCATTTTCAGTGTTTTTATTTTTACACTCATGAATTTTTAGAGGCAGAACTGATATGTTTTGGACTATTTTATAAGCAGTTTTAATATGACTATATTTGGTTTTGAAACATAACTTCAACACATTCTGATAAGTGATATAATAACCAGAAGATTTTTAGCAGTTTTGTGTGTATCTGTGATTTGAGTTGATTTAAAGACTATTCAATCCAAAAGCATTGCCCACCTGCTTGACAAGAAAATCCACGTGTGAAAACACCAGTGATTTCAAAAGTGCAAGTAGTAGAGGCATTTTTTTAAATTCTAAGGTAATGACCATTCTTCAGTTTTTTTGTAAGGCAATTATCATAGTGTTTGGAATGTTAAATCTTTCCATCTAATTTTATATTTGATATTTCAAAGAATCTCCCTGTTACCAGTATCCTGGTAAGGATTTCTATATTATTACATATCAGATTCTTTTTTCATAGTATATTGGAGACTATAAAAATATGTTTCATTAGAGAAGAAAATGATTCTTTATTATTGTGCCATTAAAAAGCGTAGGACCTTCGGGTCAGAACAATTGTATTCCTCTATCTTTCACATACTAAAGGTAAATGTGTGTAAAATGTAAGTGGAGATAAGATTTTTCCCCAACCTTACAGCTTTCATCATATTCACCCATATGTCCTTTGTGTCTTTGATTAATTCCACTCAGGGGCACACAGCTATTTACAAAGAAAAATTTATTTTGAAATTCCAGTTGGAAAAACAAAGGTTCTTTTTCCATATATCTTAAGTTTGAAGAAATTTTATGAAGTAAACTTTACAATAGTGAGTACATTTTGTGAGTAAATAGTCATTTCAACATAATACCTGAGAGCAATTTGCTTATGTAGATTTTAATTTGTACCTCACTGTTATTTTCTGCCAACGAATTCTGCGCCAGATGGATATTTAGAAAATGAATTAAGGGAGACAATACATTTTTGTAAGGGTGTTGTTTTTCCCAAAGTAAAACCATTTATATTCTTTCACTAAAAGTTGAGTTCTAAGGAGATAATCAACTGTACAAATGACTTGAACTATTCAATAGACCATGTAATGATTAGGGGACATTTCTCCATGGGTTGCTTATATTTTTGTTGATCTTTTGAGGCACTAGTTGCCCTTGTACCAGACAATTTTTCAAGAACTTCTTGGGAGATGGCATATATTCTCCAGAGTGGAGGAAAGGCCTGCTCACTGGCTCACTGGCCATTATACATAATTAGAATTCCCCAAACACAGGATACCTCTCTTGCAATGCAATTCTTTTGCATGATCTGGTGTCACTTGTTCATCTTGATATCGCTTTGTGATTACTGGGGTTTGGGTAACCGATCTGAGAAAATACAGATGCTCCGCCTATGGCTATTGCTATGAATGATGAAGTTCTTTTGCTCTTATCCGAAGCCTCATGTATTATTCTGCAAGCATCCTTGAAACTGTGGTTGGCTGACTATTAGCTTGCAAGGATAAAAATCTTAGCTGCATCACAGATTTTTTTTTTTTTTTTTTAGATTAAGGATCCTATGTTTATTGGCAGTGTTATATTAACCAGCTTATTAGGAAATTTGAGTAAGATCAGCTGACACCAGTAAAATCGTGGCAAGTAACCCACTTCAATGATTCCTATTTTCCATGGTATTTAGCTAGGAAGATGTCCCCAGATAGGAGTTAGGTCTCTCAAAACATTTTAACAATATTCAAAGGTCCTCTCCAGTGTTATTCGACCGATCATCAGAATGCTTAGTTAGCAAATTGTTGCCCTGACAACTATTCGCTGTCATGATTTCAGACACATCTTCAAATAAAGATTTAGGGGGAGGGATCCGTCACTTTTTCCGACACGAAAGTTTGGAAGTTACCTTCTGTTGTACGCCCAAAAAACCAGTACAGTTTGGGGCTCCGCATTTACAGATGTCCTTTCCACTCCCAAACGTTTGAAAGTTGTAGTTGAAAGTAAGTTCTGTGCCCGCTTGAATGTCACATAGGGCAAAAAACCCAACGCGGGTGTCTCCGTTCACACACCACTTCTGCATTTCACAGTTGGGAAGGCAGCAATGATTCATAAAACGGGTATAATTTCCACAGCTTCCCGCGTCGATCACCCTGTATCTATCTAAAGCGAGCATGTAAAAATTAGTGACCCCTTGTTCTTGGGCCTGACGGATCCGAGCCTTGCATTCAGCGTCATCGATCAGCTCCCCCACATACTCCCCCACAAAGTCACCCTCTTTGATATCTGTTTTGTTTCGGAGACCCCAGCCCCTCTCTAACGTGCGAAAAATTTCCACCTCTGGGTACTGGCGCTTAACAAAGCACTGGTTTTGGCAGCGTTTCCCAGCGGGACAGACTGCAGGGTGGCACTCACATGACAATAAGCGGTTGATGCAATTTGTCTTTCTCCCACAGGGGTTTTCATCAGTTGCCTTGCAATTACATCCGGGGATATCCGATGGGCTTACGGTAAAGATCTGTGCCCGACCCACAGGTCTGTTCATCTTGATATGTTTATACGGTGCTGGCTTCTTATCATTCTTTTGTTGTTCTTGCAGCTGTCTCAGTTCTTTTTTAGCCTTTAATTCTTCATACCTCAAGGCCGCTTCCTTCAGAGCTTTCTTATAGATGGCATCTATTCCCCTACTTGGTTTAGCACTGCTGTTTGTATCTTGCTCTGAATAGGGGAATACCCTGGCCTTGTGCGTCCACAGATAGTCATTGGAGCCAAAAAAGAGCACAGGGAATTCCCCGATGTCATGTGCCATATCAATCACGTTAGGTGGTACATTTTGAGGGTGACAGATCTCAGCTGGCCACCACCTGTACTGGCCAACTTTAACCCATACCAGTTCCATGTAACGAGGCTTCTTACCAGCCCTACAGTCATTGCAATACCATTTTCCTTCAGGAAACTCAATGCCAGCACATTTCAGGTGGAAAGAAGCAGGGCAGGATTCACAACACAAAAGGTTGCCTCCCTCCGAGCAGGCGAAACACCATCTAACGTTAACCTGCTTGTGATCTTTGCAGCCCTCCTTCGGTATAAAATGATTAGGGCAGATGATACTATTAGGTGTCAGGATTTTCGACCCAGCCGCCAGACAAAGGTCTTTAGCATGATACGCCACAGGGCAGCGTACACATCTCATCAGATGGCCATCTGATGCTGAACTGCTAGCTGGATTAGCAGCGTGGCAAGTTATACAGGAATGCATTGAGCAACGAAAGCCCCTGTCCTGCATGACAGTAGGTGGGTATTTCTGGACACAGGTGGCATGGTAAAACTTGCCACACAAGTGCCGGAGGCACCTTTTAACATCCTCCCCAGTTTGTTTACAGATAAAGCACCTGTGGGCCCCTGAGCGACATTCCTTGCAAATAAATTTCCTCTTGGGTGCTTCCCTTAACCCAAGGCATTCTAAGTGAAATGCCCCACGGCATCGAGCCTCACATATGAGTAGTTCACCTCCCTTCTCACAGTTCTGACAAACATCGCTCTTGGGTGCGGCAATGCCACCTTTTGCACGGCGCTGTCTTTTGGCTTTAGGCATCCCTTGGTGGTTCTCCGCTGCTGCCTCTTCAGCAGCCTTCTTGATCTTCCCAGGCTTCCTGTGCGCCATCGCTTCTCCCTTTGCGGAGCTACTTCATGGCTCTTGGCAGCAAATGCGCATATCTATGCTTCCTATTTGCAAACAAAATGCAAACAAGATTAGCCTTTAAAGGGTGTAATAATAGATGACTTTATTATTTTCATGTTGCTTCTGATTTGTTTTATGATATATTTCAATATGTATCACCAGTTGTAACTACTTCAAAATATATCATTAAAAAGTGAGATATGGCCCTGGATGGTTTGGCTCAGTGGATAGAACACCTGCCCATGGACTGAAGGGTCTCAGGTTCTATTCTAGTCAAAGGCACTTGCCTGGTTGCAGGCTCAATCCTCAGTGTGGGGCATGCAGGAGGTAGCCGATCAATGATTCTCTTTCATCATTGATATTTGTATCTCTCTGTCCCTTTCCCTTCCTCTCTGAAATTGATAATATGATATGTGATATGGTGAAGAGTAGAAGTAAATTGGGAAATATACTTTTTATACCAATTACTTATCTAAGTGACTACAAACATTTCAACTTGTCTATTTGTAGCCCTGTATTCATTCTTTTAACAGAGCATTGAACTCACTTAGATTAAGTAATGTTAAAAGTAAACTCTAGCTCAACCGGCATGGCTCAGTGGTTGAGCATTGATCTATGAACCAGGAGGTCACAGTTCAATACCCTGCTAGGGCACATGCCCATGTTTCAGGCTTGATCCCATGTGGGGTCTGTAGGAGGCAGCCAATCAATCATTTCCTTTCATCATTGATGTTTCTGTCTCTCCCTCTCCCTTCCTTTTGTATGTCAATAAAAAATATACGTAAGAAAAGAAAAAGCAAACTCTATATTGCTGCATATACATTATTTTTACTTGTTTATTTTTTTACTTTAAATGTCATAACTGGCCATATATATTGACATATCATATATTTATATAGATCATATAAATTACATATTCAAATGAATTATATTTTAATTGCATATTTGTGTCATTTAAATATAATTTGCATAAATATGCAATTTATATAAATATATTGTATAAATTTACACTGAGTGGCCAAATTATTATGATCTCTAAATGCATAATAATCTGGCCACTCTTTATATCCTATATAATAAAAAGCTATTAATAATATGCAAATTGTCCCCTTGACCAGGAGTTCAACCAGCAGGCAGGCTGGCCAACTGCTCATGTCTCCTCTCCCTGGCCAGGCTGGCCAGACCCCACCCATGCATGAATTCATGCACTGGGTCTCAAATACACACACACACACACACACACACACACACGCACACACACACTCTGAGTGGCCAGATTATTATGTGTTTAGACGTCATAATAATCTGGCCATAAATGATAATTTATACAGAAACAGATTTATATATTTCAATATTATTTATATAGTTAATATATAAATTTGTATGTATTTCATTCACATATATTTGAGGAATATATGTGAATATTTACACCACATCACTGTCACTGCATTGCTAATTATTTACCTGAATTTCTTCTGTGTTTAAGCAGCATGACCAATTAAAAAATGTAGGAAACAAATAATTTTACTCATAACTTACATTGATTATCTTATATAATTATGTAAAGTAGTTACACACAGTGTTTGCATGGGATAATATGCAAGAATATGAGGGAAACAAAGATATTTTCTACTGAAAATTTGCATGACTTTTTGTCCCAGGCACTTGTCCTATCCCCTTCCTTGTGTCTTTTCCTTTTCAATTTTAAGTACTGCACACTTTTAAACACCCACTCCTGTGGAGGAGGAAGAAATGCATTTTTACAACCCAATGTGATGTAGATATCATAACTGAGCTCTACATACATGTGGCAGCTATATTACTATTTCCATGTCATAGCTATCTACAGTATATTATAATGCTTGCCAGAACAGAGAATATATTCTCCCTGAATTTCATCAGCATTCGGATTAATTCACTGGCCCCAATGTTGACCAGAATAATGGTGCTGGTGGGGTGAGAGTTCTGGACAACATCACAAAGTTATTTCTATCATCAAGGAAGAAGGATTAGCCTGAAGAATAGATACAGTTCTAGTCAATCATTTTTATACAGTTGCACTTGATGTTATTATGGGGAACTTGAAAGCTAGAATTAGAGTATATATTTTTTATCCTTTAAGAAACGTTTCTAGCTCAGCAGATTATAAATAGTACTAAATGTTCTTCATAAACAGTATCTGCATGATGCCATGTTTAGGATTGGACCCTATAAACCAAGATATAAGTTGACATGAAAAAAGAGACTTTTGTACATTCACCATCACAGTTACAAGAAAAAGCAGCCCAGAAATAATCCACTCCTATATGGTCAATTAATCTATGACAAAGGGATCGAGAACATACAGTGGGTGTAAAGAGTTTCTTCGATAAATGGCATTGGGGAAACTGTACATATATATGCATTAAAAAAATGAAACTAGACTACCATCTTACACCATATACAAAAATAAATTCAAAATGCATCAAATAAATGAAATATCTGAAACCATGAAACTTCTAGAAGAAAACATAGGCAGTACAATCTCGAACATATCTTTTAGCAATATTTTTCTGACATATCTTCTTGGGCAAGGGAAACAAAAGGAAAAAATTAAACATTGGGGATAAATCAAATTAAAAAGAATTTACACACCAAGGAAAAACATTAGCAAAATGAAAAAGACAACCCACTGACTGGGAGAACATATTTGCCAATGATACATCTGGTAAGGGGTCAATATCCAAAATTTATGAAGAACTCAGACAGCTCAACACTAGAAAAAGAACCCAATTAAAAAGTGGGTAGAAGTGGGGGCCCCTTCCATGTGGGCCTTTCATAGTGGACCCATGCCAGAGGAAGTTGAAGCCTCAAACCATTGCCCAGCCTCCTCACCCTTGGGCTGTGAGCACTGAAGGGGGCTGTACAGTACAGAAAAAAAAATTGGAAAAAAAAGTGGTAGAAGGCCTGAATATACACTTCTCCAAAGAAGACATACAGATGGCCAATAAATATATGAAAAGTTGTTCAACATCAGTAATCATCAGAGAAATACAATTCAAAACTACAATAAGGTTAATCACTTCACATCTGTCAAATTGGCTATCATCAATAAATCAAAAAAACAAAAACAAAAAGTGTCAATGAGGATGTGGTGAAAAGTGGAATTCTAGTACACTGTTGGTGGGAATGCAGTATGGTGCAACCACTATGGAAAACAAACAAACAAAAAAATTAAACTGCCATATGACTCAGCAATTTCATTTCTGGGTGTATATCCAAAGAAACTCAAAACACTAATTTGAAATAATATATGCACTCCAATGTATACTGCAGCATTATTTACAATAGCCAATATATGGAAGCAACCTAAGTGTCCATCAATAGAGGAGTGGCTAAAAAAGCTGTACACAATGGAATATTGCTTTACCATAAAAAAGAATGAACTCATGTTTTGTGACAGCATGGATGGATCCAGAGGGTATTATGCTAAATGAAATAAGTTAGACAGAGAAAGACATAAACCTAACCCTGATATTGTAATACTTACACATGAGGCCAGGTGGGTACTTAAAATATCAGGGGGACCACTCTGGAAAGTATGTGACTGTCTAACCACTATGCTGTACATCTGAAACTAATACAGAACATTATGAATGTAAAATATGATTGAAAGAAAAAAGGGGAGCTTGTGGTTGATGAACAGGTGGAATTGCTGGGACTGTGGTGCCTTCTGCAGAGAGCATGGAAGTTCTGTGCCCCATCCCACATACCTTGATCTCTGCCTGTCTTCTGATTGGCTGTTTCTGAGTTCATAGATGAATATAGAAGATATATCTGTGTTAGAAGCAAATAACAGTTTATTAAAGCAAAGCAGTACCCACAGTATCAGCATTCATGTAAATTCCACGAGCACCAGTTTCCACGGGGCAACAAGAAGACTGAATGGATGCCAGTTGTCATGTGAGAAATGGCCCATGGGGAAGTGATTTTTTCCAATTGGATTGGCTGTGAGTAAACTTGTGGCACTGCCATTACCCTTCTGACATTCAAGTCTCCTAAAACAACTGTGCCCACCATCCTGTACAGAAAGTGTATAAGGAGCTGAACACTGCCAAACTGAGATCCAAATTATTGTCTCCCCTTGGATATATGCAGGAGGTATGTCAATGCCATGTCACTGGGTTTCTATTCTTGACTTTAGCCAAATCAACAAGTCTTAAAAGTCAAATCTAGCCGTTCCTCCATCCACCAATTGTACTTCACACAGCAAACTGAACCTTTTAAAATAAAGATATGGAGGGCCTTAAAGTCTTGATAAAGAAGATATAAATAAGGATAGTGAAATTTGGTGGTCAGAGGTTACATTTTCAAAGGGGCTGACTTGCCCCTAAATGGATGAACTCAGGACATGAACCTATTTGCATACTGTTTTTTTTAAATTAATTTCCAGTCACTCCTGGTCTTCCTAGAACTATTTTATTATCAATGTTTCTATCATTGATGTGTGATGTTTCTTTTTAAAAAATATTATTGAGAGTATTACAGATATCCCTTTTTTCTCCCATTGCCCACCTCCACCCAGTTCCTGTCATGCCCAAGGCCTTCACCACCATCATGTCTCTGTCCATAGGTAATGAATATATGCATAGAAGATCTTTGTTTGCCAAAACCGGTTTGGCTCAGTGGATAGAGCATCGGCCTGCAGACTGAAGAGTCCCGGGTTCGATTCTGGTCAAGGGCATGCAGGCTCTCTAGCTCTCTATCACTCTCCCTTCCTCTCTGTAAAAATAATAGTGCTGTATTGTATATTTTAAAGTTGCTGAGAGGGTAGATCTTAAAAGTTCTCATCAGAAGAAAAATAATTGTAACTGTATGATGACAGATATTAACTAGACTTACTATGGTAATCACTTCACAGTATAAAAATACCAAATCAACATGAACCCAATATAATGTTATATGTCAATTTCATCTTAATTTTTAAAATCCATTAAAGAGAA